CCCTAAAGGAGAAGATCAAAACAAACAGAATTTGCGCCATGTAAGCAGTAACCTTGTCACAGCCCTCAAGCATCCTCCTTCCACCAGCTTGGCCGGAGAACAAAGCAACAACCAAGCCGCATTTCTGCCCCTACTTCAGAAGAAATCTTGTGTGCACGTATACTTAATGAAGAGTGTAATTGACTACGGACTGCAAACAATCATGGCGATATCACCACTCTAAATGATTACACAATTTCATGAAAGCAACTACTCTACACCCCCCACCCGAAACAGTTATACCAACTGTTACTAATGGTTAGTAACTAACATATCTTCCCCAATTTGGAGTATTCTGACATCAGAATTAAAGGAAGAGGGCATTAAGAGATAAGAAAGCCAATCACCTTCTGTGTAGGAACATGTAAAACCTCCATAAAGACACACAGAAAACAAGTAGTGTGTTTTCACAATTCATTAGAAAACATATTGCGTAATTTGCCAGAACATCTTGACAAACACGCCACCACAGCAAATCCCATTGCAGGCAGCGATTTAAGGCCAGTGGGATTCAAATGTAGTTTCATGCGCTACAAAGCCCCAAATAAAAATGAAACTAAAGGCACCTCCATCAATAACTTCTCTTCCGCAGCACACTAAAACCCCCTCGATGTCCAGGACACAGCCCTTGCACATGGCTACCACACGGTCCGTCAACCAAATTAGCGTGCCTTGGCTCAACACGGCATTCAGATTCGGCGTGACTGCACCCAACATCATGATCTTTCCTTGGGTCTTGCAATCTCCTTTCCCCCCGCCACCCCAGCAAAGCCTTCTGTCTTTTCGACAGCACTGTGCCCTTCTTCTCCACAGAACAAACCCACTGCTAACGACCTACGGCTTTTGTCAAATCACTGCAGAATGGGAGGGACAGGCAAGATGACAGAATTAGCTCGTTATTCTTGTTGCCACTTAGTTTTCTCTGCATTGCCCAGCTTGTTTTTCCCATGAACTGTAAGTGCACCTCAACAGTAGCTACGATCTCTGTATTTAGAAACCTACAGTCAGAAATCAAATTCACTAGAATTTGTCAGGCAGGACAACAATGCAATCTCTGTGTAACAATACACTTTAACACAAGCCTGTTGTAAACCCTACTGCTTAAGCCGCCTACTAAGGCGGTGGCTGACCACAAAAAACTAAGCACCTGGATCGTATCGTTCTGAGACAAAGCTAGAGCCTTGGCTTCCAAATCTGTTGAAGCCACTGTACCAACACTGGGACCCCAGCAGTTCAACAACAGAGAGTTTTCTGGCCCTTTCTAGTATTCAATTTACTTACTGCAACGCTGCTCGTGCCAGGTCATGTGGCATAAGATCCGCGTACCTGGAATTTAAAGAGAGGCAGAAACTTAGGAGTGTCAGAAACCAATACAGATGTCATCTACTTCACCAGTGTAAGCAGACATCAGCAGCCCAGAGCTGGTGACATACCAGAAATGCTCCACTTCATTTATATTCAAATGTTTCATCCCCCAGGTTGGGAAGACCATCTGTGTATAGGCCAGCACGCAATTGCTGTACTCAAAACATGTAAAAGCAGCACTAACAGAATAAAGAAACCCCCTACCCATCCTAAGAGTTAGGTCCGGTCCTCATTCAGATGTGAATTCAGTGCTAGCAAGAAGAATCTACAGCAGATTCTCTGCGCCTGTCCTGCCAGGTTTGTGAAACTCTTTGCTTTATCTGCTGTAGATTCACCAACAGCTTCCTCTAGACATGCAGCATAAATCCTCATTCTTCTCAGAATTCATATATGCGGGCAATCTTCTCCAAACCACATTTTTTCACCGGGTAAGCTGGAATAACTGTAGCAGTCTAACTCATTGCTGTTTCAGCACTTACAGGCATTAGAGTAACTGCACTAAAATGAACAAGTAAGCCCACTTTCTTCACAGCAAAATTCGACCATTAACCAAGTCAGCGTGTATTTTCTTGTTATTTTATACTTACGAGGTGCCAGACTGCAAAAATGGAATACGGACGCCCTCCACCACAACGATATTCTTCACACCACTTTTGGCTAAGGTCTTCTTACTCTTAGGCTGGACTGCTAAGAGAGAAGTGACGTTAACAAGAATACCAGCAAGCTTAAAGCAAGACTCTTAAAACTAATAGAAAACTAGGGAAATTGTTCTCTTTTGGTGCCTAAGTCAAAAGCAGAGTAGGCAGGACACCCGAGCCGTAATCTTGTCTCTGGTTAATTACGTGATCTGTGAAAAATGATTTGACAACTCAGTATGTCCCCCATCAGCAGCGAGATTCATCTATAGCTCCGCTGAGGCAACAGCACAGAACTCCCAGTCTCCGTTACCGCTGACAAGAATGCTGCAGGAAGAGACAGCCCTAAAACTGCTGCACAGCTTAGAATACAAACGAGGCAGAGCGAATTCAAAGCCTGAGTAAGATCTCGTACAGTCTCTCACTTGGGGAGCAGCAAGGACTGCAAACAGCAACGCACCTTCCGCAGTAACTGCCTACGCATGTGCTCTTACTGCACAGTAAAGGTGAGATAATTCAAGGTAAATCAAAACACAGTTCAAGAAGTCAACTGACTTTCCCTCCCGTAGGAAAGCAGTAGCAAGAAGAGCGCATGTAGTTGCTGTGGGTAACTTGCTACTTCTCTGTGAGGTGTCTGAGCATCTCGGGTTCAAGACAAAGCATGGCATGATACGGTATCGTTCAACAGGCCTCCATCAGAGCTCTTCTGGAGCCATGATTGATTAACAAAGAGTTCATTGAGAGTTTCCTAAAACAATCAGGCCTGCACATCTTAACGAGCACAGATGGCAGCATGGGGCAGCTCCTTTTACAAGCAGGAAAAGGACAGAGACACGTAAAAGCAGATTAAGTCCAACTAAATACCGTGCTTGAGCAAGTGTGAGCACCAGTACAAAACTCTAGCACTGTTCTTGGGTTGTGTAAGGCTCTCTGCACAAAGCCAAGACGAGGGGGAGCTGCTGCCTAGGCCGGTTTCCAAAATGCAGGCAGCTCAAAGTCACTAGTCACCTCATCACTCCCCCCTCAATGAATCCCAGAACGCCGGATCACCTCGACCGCTCACGAAGGGCCACAGCTAAAAACCCACGTTAACTGCGCACGCTCAGCGGCTCCACCAAGACCCGAGCCTCTTGCTGGTCTCGCTGGACTTCAGAGCTAATTCCACGAGCTTCTCCTTGTCAGGGACAACCCCCTCCCCTCTGGGCCAGCGATCTGGTTATGCCCGGACAGCTTATAAACGCCGAGCTTAGCGTCCCCATTTAGGTTCTAGAAATAGCAATCTATCAGGTGACGATGGGATGTGAGCTCTGGGCTGGCCATAGCTGCTGGGAGCAAGGGGCAAGCAGAGGTTGAGAGGACTCTGCTGCGAACCGCGGTTTGGCTGTAGTTTTACTTGTTTGCAACTTCTGAGGGGCAACTCCAACTAAAGCTGTCTGCGCCGCGTTTCTGAGATTTATGTCGAATGAAACTCTGGGAAAGGGAGGCGGCTTCAAAAATAGTCTTTAATAGCACAGACCCGCTGAGATTCCTGGTGTTTTCACTTTACCTGCGGCTTGTAACTGTGAAGAGCAGCTGAGCGATCGAGCAACTGAAAAACAAGAAACGAAAAAATAGGTGCTGTCAAACCCAAAATGTTAAAACCATTCCTAGTTTCTGTAAGAACTGTTAAAAAAATAAGAATGTCATAGTAAGACAACTGCACCTGAACACCTGTGAGATTTTTTTTTTTTTAGTTTACTCTGCTCATAGAAACAACACAGTTCATATTACCTGTTAACATGAGATTCCTCCTACATCTGATGTGGAAAGGGTCAAATATGGCAGCAATGGAATTAGTTATTTTAACAAAAAAACCACTGTCATGTTTTTTTAAGATGACAACGGAACAGAGATTCAGATAGAAGCATCCATTCCAAACCCAACACTTAAACCAGAACTTTATGACCTTCCAATTCAAGCTTTTCACAAATGTAAAGATACTTACAGACCCTGGCAGCCCATGCTGAGGAAGTAGGGAGGTTTCTGATGGCATGGGTCAGCATGGAACTCATTTTGATATCTAGAGAGGTGGAGAAAGACTGATATTAGTCCACTCTGGTCTATTTGGAACAATTTCAAGGAAAGCGATCTGCCTGCTTCACACAGAGCCAAAAAGGTGAAGAAACAGAAGACGTTCCAATGGCAGCAGCACAGAGAATTACTTCCTATTGCACTTTTTGAACAACATCAAACACACGAGGAGTTGGGCTTCTGACTGGGGCCTGCAAATGTTCCTGTAAATACTCATCTCCCCAGTGACCCAGCACTGTACTAAGAGCAGCCAGCGCAGCTTTTGATTCCCCTCCCAGTAACCGTTCCACCGCTTCCCCACTGGAAAATTGTCCCAGCGCCCAGCCAATCTCACTGCCAGCATGACTCCTTGGCACAATTTCGTGTCGCTACCCCTCGTTTTAACTGTTGATGCAACCTCAGTAACTTCCGTTGCGTAGCCCCATGGGAAGCAGAACCAGATGGCACCCGCTACCCCAAAAACTTCCTCTGTAGCTGTCCCAAAGCTCATTCCAAAACAGGGCTTCCCTACAAACAAATCCTCACCCATGGTTTTTATTGCGCAGGGCAAAAAATGGTCCCCACAGCTGCAGCTCTTTGGCTACTTCACAGCAACATTCACCTTATCCTGTCGCGCTTTTAGCATTCAAGCTAACAGCACTGTCTCTCCCAAATACACACATTTTCCCTGGAAGCTTAGGGAAGCGCTGGCAGCGCCAAGCCCTGCCCACTCAGGTATTGCAGCTCTCTACAGCTTCTCAAAACCCGGCGTAAGCTGCCAGCCACCCCCTTCCACGTTTACGTCTCACGCCCTGCAGCTCCACACCTGCGACACGCCATGCAGCGTTCCTCCTTCCCCAGCCCGCTCTGGCTACTCTGGCATCCCACACACCAAACCTAGGCTCCTCAGGTCAGTAAAGGTCCAGAAAACAAACCTCCTCCCCGGCATCTTTCCCTGTATCGCCTCTCTGCAACAGTGCTCTTCCTCCATCTGCGCTGAGCTCCCTCCCCATACCCAACTGAAACTTTTCTCCAAATCTTCCCCGCTGTCCTGGTTTCAGCTGGGATAGTTAATTTTCTTCCTAGTAGCTGCCATAGTGCTGTGGTTTGGATTTAGTACGAGAACAATGCTGATAACACCCTGATGGTGTGGCTGTTGCTGAGCAGTGCTGACACCAGTTAAGGGCTTTTCAGCTTCCCATGCTCTGCCAGGGGCACAAGAAGCTGGGAGGGGGCACAGCCAGAAGAGTTGATCCCAACTGCCCCAAGGGCCATTCCATACCATACGGCGTCATGGGCAGTATAGAAACTGGGGGGGTTGGCCAGGGAGCAGCAATCGCTGCTCGGGGACGGGCTGGGCATCGGTCGGCAGATGGTGAGCAATTGCATTGTGCATCACTTGCTTTGGATATTATTATTATTTTCCCTTCCTCTTCCATCCTATTAAACTCTCTTCATCTCAATGCACAAATTTCACTTTTTTTTCCCCCCAATTCTCTCCCCCATCCCGCTGGGGAGGGGGAGAGT